GGGAGAGAGAGAGAGAAAGGGGAGAGGGAGGGAGAGAGAGAGAGAGAGAGAGAGAAAGTGTGTGTGTGTGAGAGAGAGAGAGAGAGAGAGAGAGAGAGAGAGAGGGGAGAGAGAAAGAGAGAGAATGAGAGGCGGAGGAGGAGATATGTATGGTAAGATGGAGACACCTAATGTGTGGGTGTGTGAGAGAGAGAGAGAGAGAGAGAGAGGGAGAGAAAGGGGAGAGGGGGAGAGAGAGAAAGTGTGTGTGTGTGAGAGAGAGAGAGAAAGGGGAGAGAGAAAGAGAGAGAGAGAAAGAGAGGCGGAGGAGGAGATATGTATGGTAAGATGGAGACACCTAATGTGTGGGTGTGTGAGAGAGAGAGAGAGAGAGAGAGAGAGACAGAGTGTATGGAGGTAGAGCAAATAAGGAGAGAGAAAGAAAGAAAGGAAAAGAAAAGAAGGAAGAGATAATTTTGCTCCATTTCGAGTAGCTCAATAATATAAGATTAGGAGTTTTATTTTGACCAAAATTTCACCAATTTTATTTTCCCGGTAAAATCAGATTTCCCACTTTATTCCGCTCCCCCCTCAGTCCAGGATCAGGTCCTCCCATGGTCCTGGTTTGGTCAGATAAATCTTTGTCTGGAATGCCTCTTAGTCCGATCTTCCCCATGTTTCAGATTTAATTCAGGAGCCCAAACGCGTCCAGACGAGCGTTGGGGTCAGTCCAGTCACAGCAGACAATCGGAATAATTCCGGTAATGGAGCTCAGGCGATGGATAGAGAAGCATCTGTGCCACGTTCCGCTCGGCTGGCAGGACACTTATCTGTTTAACAGCTGATTAGTTCCCTAATGCCATCCTCTCCCCTCTGCGATGAGCCGGATGGCTGGGAACCAATCCTTCTGCTTTCTTATTTGAACCACGTTTAGCGTGAGATAAAATTGATGTTTTTCCAAGTCCACCAGAATTTCGACACACCAGCAGCATGTATATGTATTAGGATAAATTCACAGTTTATGTCCTTAATATGCATGTGAGGGATTCTGATGTGTTATTGTGCGGTTTTAATGTTGGCCACTTTGCCTGTCCAAAAAAAAAAAAGAGAAAAAAAGTCACCACCTGGATTTAGCTAAGCAAATAGGTAAACGCCTTCCATTGGATAATAAGTCTAGGTTCCTTTGGACAATAGCTCTAGGTTGTATTAGAGCTGGGGTGTCCATTAGGTAGATGGTGATCTAGCAGTAGCTCTTGAAGATGATGCTGGTAGATCACGAAGGGTGTGAATGGCGGCCCCATTTTAGTATATTTATTTAGCTGCGGGAATACCGCCATGGAGGTTAGTGGGTGCAGGCCCGGCGCTACCGCAAGGCAAGTCAGGCGGCCGCCTGAGGGCGCTGCAGGGTGAGGGCGGAAAAAACAGGGCATTTTGACAAGTACTTGTACTTGCCAAACTGCCCCGATGCTTGCGCAATGTTTTTTTTTTCTTCACTTACCTTCAGTGCGGGAGAGCAGCGGCGACTCAGCGCTGGTCATATTATGTAAAATATTAAACACATTTGTAAAGATATATCATATCAGAGTGCGGATTTTTCTATCCTGTGTGGAGTATGCGTAAGTGGAAAATGAAAACTGGGTATCGAGGAGACAGGTGTAGTTACCTTTACAATGCAAAAAAATTGTGCTCAGATCTGGACGATTATGGATGATGCGCCCGGGAAGAAATCTGCCGGAGAGAATGAGAACAATGGGAACAGAACAGGTGAAAACATAATGGGAGACAGAGAGTTCTAGAATGCAGTGAGAGATAAGGAAACTAATGTAATCAGTGAAGCAGATGTGTTCAGCCGGAGGCTCAGTGGGAAATAGAACCTAAGTGACAGTGTAACAGAAGAGTTTAGCTGCAGGCTTGGTGGGAGATAGTAACTAAGTATCCAAGGTGAAATACTGAAAGTAAATTACAGCGCACAATGTCTTATTTTTATTAAAGGAAAAACTCCAACCAAAAAATAGATGTCCTCAGTCTTTCAGGTTGGATGACACTCATCATTACTCAACCCACTTCTTCTGGGCCCGGGCTGGCCTGTTCCGGACTAGACATGTGCGATTCGTTACGAATCGAAATTCGTACGAATTTTCCTGAAATGCAGTTTCCGAATTTATATCCGAAATACGAAATTCCGTTAATGAATTTCGGATCCGAATTTCTTTGAAACAGGAACTAATATTATATTGCTGCTGAGAGTCGCATTACAAATACAGGCAGGAAATACGAAATTCCGTTGACGTATTTTCATTCCTTTACGAACATTCGTTATATTGAAGTTACAAAGCAAAATGCATTTATATTGGAGTTGATGGTAGTTTTTTTTTAAGTCTGAAATACGAAATTCGGATCCGGAATCCGTTAACGGAATTTCGTATTTCGGATAAAAAAACAACTACCACATCGACTCCAATATTAACAAAGGTATTTTTGCTTTTTAACTTCATCATAACGAATGTTCGTACAGTTATGAAAATGTGCCGAAACTAACGAAAATTCGTATTTCGTACCAATCCGAATTGAGTTTCGGATACGAATTCCGAAATACGAAATAATGGATATTACGAAACGGAACGAAACAAAACAGCGCACAAGTCTAGTCCGGACATCCTGGACGGCATCATCTAGTAGCCTGGTTTCAAAGAACTAATGCACTCTGCACAGTGCTTAGAGATATGTGCTGTGGATCACCCCCTCAACATGTCTGTGTGACAGGCCCGGCGCTACCGCAAGGCAAGTCAGGCGGTCGCCTGAGGGCGCTGTAGGGTGAGGGTGAAAAAAACAGGGCATTTTGACAAGTACTTGTACTTGCCAAAATGCCGCGATGCTTGCGCTATGTTTTTTTTTTTACGGGAGGGGGCGCAAAAATGCACATTGCCTGTGTAGGCAAGAATCCTAGCACCGGCAATGCTGTGTGATAGGAGAGAGTGAAGCCAAACAAAAAAAAAATGCTTCGGAGAAAATGTTTTGAACACCTCAGAGATATCTCAATGTCTGTACGAAGGGTGCCTAAAAAAAATCATGATTTGATCTTCCCTTAAGGGGCAGGTTTATACATACACCTGTCCATCACATCTACACTATATGGCCAAAAGTATGTGGACGCCATTCCAAATGAGTTCAGGTGTTCCCAGTGAAGGATACTTTTAATACTACATCATACAAAGACATTTTAGACAGTTGTGCTTTTCCAACCATGTGGCAACAGTTTGGTGAAGACCCTTTTCTGTTCCAGAACGACTGCGCCCTGTGTACAAAGCCAGCTCCATTTAGACATGGTTTGATGGGTTTGGTGTGGAGGAACTTTAGTGTTTGGGACAGAAACCTGACCTCAACCCTACTTAACACCTTTGGTGTGAATTGGAGTGCCAGGCCTTCTCATCCAACATGGTTTGATGAGTTTGGGGTGGAGAAACTCAAGTGGCCTGCACAGATCCCTGACCTCAGCCTTACTGAACTCCTTTGCGAGGAATTGCAATGCTGATTGTGAACCAGGTCTTCTCATCCAACATGGTTTGGTGTGGAGGAACTGGAGTTTCCTACATAAAGCCCTGACCTCAACCCTACTGAACACCTCTGGGATGATATGTATGGCCAATCGCAAGCCAGGTCTTCTCATCCAACATCAGTAGCTGACCTTACAAATGCTCTTTTGGCTGAATGGGCATAAACTTACACACAGACACACTCCAAAATCTTGTGGAAAGACTTCCCAGAAGAGTGTAGGTAGTTAAAGCTGTGAAGGGGAGGAGGGTAATGTCCAAGGTTTTGAAATAGGATTCATACCGGTGTTATGGTCTCAAACTATATAATGTATCAGTGGTGCCTCAGAGCACACTTTAAAGGAGAACTATGGGGTCAGTGTTTTTCCCCATAGTTCTCCTTAGGGTAACGGGAGGACACAAACTAGCGTCCTCCCGTTACCCTAAGCTCAGTATACCGCGAGGTACAGCTCGCGGTATACTGAGACGCCGCAGCGGATCCCGACTTAGACGTCGGGATCCGCCCAGCTGCGTGAGTGACAGCTGGCTCTGCCTATCTAGAGGCAGAGCCAGCTGTACCCGCCCCCTCTCCCGTCCGTTCCGCCAGTCAGCGCTGGCAGATCGGAGAGGGGAATCCAGCCCCTCCCCCTGTCACGGCAGAGAGCCGTGACAGGATCGAGAGGTGAGCGAACGCCGGTATGTGTTCGCTCACCTCCCGATCTACTGAGCCGACCTGTGACAGTCTCATTGTCACAGGTCGGCTAGAACTATGAGGTGAGTGAAAATCACTCATGTCATAGTTCTCCTTTAATGCCGGGACAGAGAGGGCTTGGAAGATGAGTTTGCCTTGCCATCCAGTACTGAGGGAGCAGCAGATTAAACACATAATCAAAAGACCGACCTTCTGACTTTCAGCACAATCCAGCCCCCGGCGCTGAGGACCATGTGCCGCTTTAATAATCCCTTACACATCTTTCATCCCTTGCCTGCCCCTCCAGGGCCCATCAAGTTAGGTGACATTGGGCAAAAAGTTTTGCCAGCACACCTCATTTGCGGAGAATAAAGCAGTTCTGGCAGCTGCTAATTAATTAGATTCTTAATTGCTGATTAGGAATTAATCTGCCTTATATGTCAATGTCACTGCTTTTCCGGAGCTGTCACCTGAGCCCTCTGTTTGTTCACATTAGGCGCGCGCCATTGTCACGTCTCCGAGTGTTTAGCCGCGGACGGCGATCAATTCTTATAAATAATGCAAAGTGATGATTTCACAAAGGACTTTTATTACAATCCCGTTTTATTGTAATCGTGACGATTATAAATCTGATTATGCAGCTAGAGACACCGCCATCAATTCAAAACGCGTAACCTTTCATAGCAAGCCAGGCCTCTCATTCCCTCTATCGCAAGGGATGGATTTGTCCCATTTACAGTAAACGCTGATGAAACATTGGGCTGAAAGAGACAGCGCAGAGAATCTCACATTTCCACTCAAATATATTTCAGCCGATCCTTTTGTTTCATTCACAGACATATTACAAAGTTTGGAAACTGACTTTTTGAGATATCCTTAAAGAAAAAGAGCTCCTCCTTAAAGTGGACCTGTCATTCTCACTGTCTGACATTGATCAGCCCCTGCTGCAGCCTTGTGACTTGCTACAAAGTTACAATGTTGCAGTCTGATCACTGGGGACGGGAGACGGAATATTTTTTGTTCTCCTAGCTACTCAATAGACCTTCTTGGAGCCCCCTAAATCCAACAGGGGGCTTGTGTTTTCTTTTACATCATGTGAATGGCCGGGTGTGTGTCACATAACTGGGGAAGAGATGGAACCAGGATGTACTATGGGAAGAAGACAGGCCGACGGAGGCAGTGTGATGCTTGGGGCAATGTTCTGCTGGGAAACCTCGGGTCCTGCCATTCATGTGGATGTCACTCTGACCTAAACATTGTTACTGACCAAGTCCCCCCCTTCATGGACATCGTATTCCCTGATGGCAGCGACCTCTCTCAGCAGGATAATGCGCCCTGCCACACTGCAACAAATGGTTGAAGAATGGTTTGAGGAACACAACAATGAGTCTGAGGTGATGACTTGGCCTCCAAATTCTCCAGATCTCAATCCAATCGATCATCTGTGGGATGTGCTGGAAAAACAGGTCTGATCCATGAAGACCTCATAACTTACAGGACTTAATGGATCTGCTACTGACGGCTTGGTGCCAAATACCACAGCACACCTTCAGAGGTCTAGTGGAGTCCATGCCTGGACGGGTCAGGAGAAGGGAGGCCTACTCAATATTAGGGGGGGGTCATCCAGATAGCACAGCATACCTTCAGAGGTCTAGTGGAGTCCATGCCTGGACGGGTCAGGAGAAGGGAGGCCTACTCAATATTAGGGGGGGGTCATCCAGATAGCACAGCACACCTTCAGAGGTCTAGTGGTGTCCATGCCTGGACGGGTCAGGAAAAGGGGACTACTCAGTATTAGACGGGTGCTCAAAATGTTATAGCTGATTGGTGTATGTTCCGGCAATAGAAACCTATCAGAGTCTGCAGCTTTCACTGTTCAAAACCAATAAAGTTTTCACTTCCACTTGCGATTACGTCTCAATGGCTGGCGAGCTTTACGATACCTCCGGAAACAAAACAGATGATACCAACGGTGAATGATTATGCAAAGTGATCGCTGTGTCGGGGGGGGCTTCGGTCTCCCCCCCCCGGACCTCGCACTGATGGCTAACGAACCAATCAGAAGGTTGGTAGCTTCTGCATAAAAAAACGGTTTAATTAAAATGCATAATAATTAAAGCCTAAAGGTAAGAATGGGGAAAATCCAGTTTAGGAAAGCAGCGGGCGGTAAAGGGAAGTCGGCTGAGCATGAAGTATAATCTAATGAAGAAACATGTGACGAGACAGACGTGCTAAGTGACTGGAATCCTCGGATCATGCTAAAAAACAAACAAACATACGATTTACATACACAGGAAGTTTTCCAATTCCAAAGTGAAGAAAAGCTCAAGAATCTTCCCAAACTCGATGGCCAGAGATGGAAAAACTTTTCTTGGGTCTCCCTTCCTTTGTTGATTACTGGGGTTACATCCTTTAAGCCTCGACAT